ATCTTCTACTCATGAGAAGAAAAAATAACAACTAAAGATTTTCCAACCATGCTTTTCCAGGTAATGAGACACGCTACTTATCACGTCTAAAAGAAAGTAACTTAATTTATGTGTCCTTATAATCTAAATCTGGGGAAAAAGCGTAATCTGTCCGTCGAGGAAGAATCTACTACGAATGTTTTCTTTCTGCTGATTTTTCACGCCTTTCTATCCTATTATAGATTAATAATAAAAAGGGGGTTGTCGACTGAAGTTCTTCACCGGGGAAGATACTAAAGTTATCGGTAATTCTGAATTTCACCTAGGGACTTATTTATATACAGTGTGCAAATACTAATAATATATATACTTGATAAACGCTTTCTAAAACTGAAGTGGTTTAAAATGAGGTCTCGATTTGAATCTGAATGTTCCATATAGATATGTAAGCAGAAAGCTCGTCTATTATTTTTAGATTGCGCAATATCACAAATAACCAATATATTATAAAATGAAGAAACTACAGTGATATTAGAATGGCTGATGACTTAGTTTTAGGATAGTTATTTGCCGAAGTCGAGTTAACGCAATATTACTACAAAGCAAAAACGTTCAAACTAATAGGAATGTTTCACATTATAAGATATGCTAATCAATGCAAGTCGTTGATATTCTAAGGGAACATAGAACACAGAAAATCCTATGACATGTTCAAAGTATTAGCAATTATAGAAAAGTCAAAAAAGACTCATAATTCAATGGTCTACTAAATCTTTCTTGACAGAGAATAGATAGGCTAATAATTTTAACTGTCGGTAGAATGAGTATTTGAGTTCTCGATATTTCTTAATAACACGTTCTGTAAATCTCCAATATAGGTTTGTGAAGATTGTTAAATTTCATCGGAATCATGAACCAATTAAGTTAGACAACCATTGAAATCCTGGAGTCTCGTACTAGGACGAAACAGCAGTCTAGAGCTTCCAGTTTTTCTGTGATAGTCTTACTTTCATTGGTTCATGACTTCACTGAAATTCAACACTGTCCACAAACGTATACCGACAACCATCATGTACTCACTAGTGACTAGCTTCGAGAGGGAATCTCTGGACTACTAGTTAGAAGTGGTGACCAGTGGAGATAAACCATGTGGGGTGTGAAGTAGTTATTCACCGAAGACAATGGAAGATGGTCGCACACTATCATGGAATGACTGAATTTAGACTTGTACACCGTTGGATAAAAGGTCAGTAGGTCAGGAACCAAGCGTTCACACACGAGACCGAAGATCCTGGGTTTGACTCCCGCTTGTGGAGTCGTGCGTGGGCACTGCTGAGGCGTCTCACGCTGAGACAAAACGGGTGTTCAGTGCTTCCAGGTTTTCAATGGTTGTCTAACTTTGATCGATTCATGATTTCAATGATGTTCTGCAAAACTAATTGCGTCAATTACAATGAGACGCCAACATCAACTCTTAATTCAGTAACCTTTGGACGTTTTTGAGCTTTAGATTATTTGGCAAAACTGCTGAATATATATTGCTGAGCATAAAGTTGAAGCGTTTTATTCCGTCGACCATTTCTGAAAGAAAATAAATTTTATGAACAATGCGATAAATTACTATTTTACTCTACTTCTGAAATACGATATCGATTCATAACCCGCTTACTTGTCAGCATGAATTTGTAGTGGCTTAGCTTCGTTAATCGATCGCCTCGATAACCGTTATTATATATATCCTAACGGTATTTGAAATCAGAAGCGGCAACTACAGTTTATTAGCGGATAGCACGGATAACACAGATACAAACATATCGAGCGAATTTGAAGCAGATAGGCGAATGTGTGTATGCGAGCGAGTAAAGAGGAAAATTTATGGTCAAATCGAATCAAGGTGCAACTAGGCGATGCAAAGGCTAATAATAGGATTCGAGTACATATATACATGGGAAAAAGAATGACTCACCGAGTGTTATTTAAGAGATTAACATTTATGTTAGAGATATGTGCGTAGGCTGTCACATGTGATCGTGATAGTACAAAGAAATAGACAAATTGTTACTCCTTCAAATAACACTGTCTGCTGAATAAATTAATAAAAGGGCTTAACAAAACAAACCATAATCGGAATTGATTGTAGGAGAGTTGCTATAATTTTGTTGCGAGTTTGCATCACAGTGTTTAATATATGTGCAAAATTTAGCTCTTCCAGTCATTTAGTGAACTATTGCTGCATATAAGAGCATAATATGCACTGATTTCAAGCTTCAACTTTATTTGCTTTTTCCGTGCGGCAATTTGAGATGCGCTACAGTGCCACCCTTATAGAAGATATAGGCTGTCACATTTAGATGATTAAAATGAAGTCCTCGGTGAAAATTGCGCTCCTATATCCAAGGCTGACACACTAAAGGAATGTAAGAATCTTCGAGAATTCTGGACTTCTATTTAAAATTAAAAAAGAACGGTTATCCTTACACTATAGGACTCTTCTCGTATATAATTAATTGAATTATTAATAACCACGGTAGATTGTGGGTGCACTATAAGAATGAACATCAGCACATCGAAAAGAATAAGCAGTAGGATACTGAAATAAAGATTCAGTTACAGTGTTAACATTGTCCGAGATTTCTTTATGTGGTTATTGATTATTTTTCATGAATGAAAACATTGGTCGATGCGAATTTGACGTAGTATATAAATAAACAGGAAATATCAAATAAGTAGATACACAAATAAATCACATGAAAAGTGCGCATGACTTTATTTTGTGTAAGGATATTGGTGGTTATGATTTCGGTAGTTACGTAATTAATTGAAGTGACAACAAACGCAAAATCTAGGTCCGGGATTTCCAATTGGTCGTTCGCAACGATCAGATAAAAAAACTGCGATACAATCATTTGTATTAGTGGCCATATTACAAAATTTGACCAATAGAACCAAATTAACATTGAAGACTAGTAGGCCACCTGCAGCTAACAACTAAGACATTTTAGTTATTTTCCATACATGGTAGTTTGTATACCGTTAGGTTGAATAACCATAAGCTTAATTGTTGCTTGGAAATATGATGTAAGAACATTTATAGTACTTATGATTTCGTGCACTAGAACTAAGCATGTGAAGCTAAGTGAAATGGATTCCCTTTATTTCAATAATGAATTATCTATTCTAATTAAGGTATATATCTACTTCATAGACTAAATGAGAGAATTAAGTATACAATAAATGTAACAGCTAAATGCAAGAGTTAACCCTCAGGATATAAAAACTAAGCTTTCTTCGGTTTACCTCTCCAATGATGAATATACTCGTAGGAAACACGTTTCTGAATAGCCTACAACTTTCCAAGTTAACACTGATAATAATTGATCCTCACTATTTTATTTTCAGTTCAATAGGAAAATATCCAAATACGTAAGAGATGTGGTATTTAATTTACAATTTGTTTCCTACTTCCTATCTATCCAATAGCGAATAACCTTTTACACATTGATTTTTTGTAAGTTGAAAATATTTCCCAGAGGTAATGTTAAAAAACAAGGTACGCTACATTATTATAAAATATATTTAATATATCAAAGTGAAATGGCAGTACTTAACAGGCAAAAACTTGTAAGGTATGTACGCTTTCGATTTGATTGTGTACTTAGCAAATAAAATGTGTTTCAAAAGAGAAAATCACAATACAAACTAAGTAACATTGTGTTGTCTTCAGATTAAATGATGTGACTATATCGTTTTTTCTTAATAGACCTCACAATGGAAACTATGAACAGACAAATCCTTGACGATAAAATATTTGAAAAGTTCATACGAAGTTTGATCACCCTGACTACTAATCGATGACTTCTTATTTGTGATTAACCAATAGTTTTCTTACCAAAAAGTTGATTATATTATTGAATATGCTAACCTGATTAACTCCGCACACTGTGTACATATTATAACAAACAAACTCATTGGTTATTCATACGCGTTATTCCTACAAGCCGCCATCAGTCAAGTTTAATTGTGTTGAGTGAGGTAGTTACCCACTGCAGACAATGAAAGATAATGCTCAATATCATGGATTGGTTGAAATTAAACATTAACATCGCTGGATACCGGCTCACTGGTCTAAGTTCAGGCGTTCACGCGAGACTGAAGGCCGTGGGTCCGATTCTCGCACGTGGAGTCTTGGATGAGCACTGCTGAGTCCCATAAGAGAACGAAAGGACCGTTCAGTGCTTCCAAGTGGTCTACCATGGACCGTTTTCGGACTGCAGTGAAAATATAAAGAAGTAACATTCGAGGTATCGGGAAGTCATTTCAACATGGTCTCAGAATCACTGAACTTATTAAATATATATGTGATCGATTTATTTCAACATAAATCGTATTACTTAACCACTTTGTCTTATATCATTTTGGTCGGGATTTCAGAGCATTACTTTGCCAAAACAAATCTAGTTAACCACTAGTCTAGTAATTAAGTTTAATCAGAAAACTGAATAATGTTGACGTTTACCCACTGTTTTATAGATAGTCTTGTAATGTATTTGAAATAAGCATTGGAAGATGCACCAATTAAATGTATAGTATACATTGAGTACTGTATTTTGCCATTGTGTAAGAAAGTACGTTTACAAATATGACAGAAAATGCCACGAGAAAAGCTTATGCTGGTGATAGAAAACAAATATTATTTGGTTGTAAATATGTCGCGATATCCAGAAAATCCTCATATAATTAAATGAGAAACGACTGGCTTTTATAAATCGATGTCTAGCGGCAGCATATGGAACAGATACATTGCAAGTACCTGATTTCTGAAATACACAACGCATAGAATTCTACTAATCACAATTAAGTGGTACTTTCTTATTTGAACTGTGCAAAAAACATATAAGATGTTACTGATTATATTCAATCATAACTGATATTTGTCTTGTAGTGCTTTCGTTTCTGAAACCTATTGTTGTTGAGATGTTTACGATGCTTTAATAATAAGATATGAATAATAAATACGATTATCAAGTGAAATAATACATTCATTTACTTAACAACAGTACAAATAATTCATCAAGATAACTCTCATCACCGTAATATTAAATATAAATACAACAATACTACAGAAAAATCCTCAGAAAATACAACAGTGTTGTTCAAGAATCATCAATCCATTCAGTATCTAAATAATATCGACTTGTAACATGAACACAAACATCATTAAAATTTTAACCAGGAAGTTAACAAATTAGCAATAGTTAGTTTAAAGTTATTAAAACTTTTAGATGTTATTATATTTAGAAATAGTAGTGATAATTTTTCAGATGACCTAAGTAATATTTCAAGTGTATGCATTTGGAAATGAACCATTCTGGTGATTTATATAGGTATATAGATAAACATATGAATATAATGCAAACAACTAAGTATTATATCCGTTTGTAATGAAGAATAACGAAGAGTAATAATTACATTTCGATGCTGAAACACAAGTATGATTTCATTCGACGATTCACTTTGATCTGAATAGTTCAGTACAGACAGGCATGTAAAGCTTTTATTTTAGACATTTTTGGATGGTGATTATTTTTCAGTTTCTTATTCAAAAACATCAATTTTCTCAATGGAAGGTTAGATAATAGTGAGTTATGTATTAAGAGATATAGACAAGACAATACTTCAAGTTTTATGATTAAAAGGAAACTTTAATTTGTTCACTAGTTTGTCAAGGTTTATTTAGTTTATTTCATGGAGAAAGTTGAAATCTATTCAGTTGAAACACTAAACAATAACAAAACTAAAGATTTACGTATTCACGTGTTGAGCAGCCGAAGTAAAATATTTATGGGAAATATACAAACAATGACAGTGTCAACTTTAGAAAGTTTAGGAAAAATTATTTAGAACTAACTAAATAGGTACAATACACCGAGAAATACCATCACGGACTGAGAACATAAGGCACAAAATAGTAGTGTTTTATTGAAAAAAAACTATGTCAAGTACGTGGTTACATCAATCTTTAGAATTTTGAAGAAATAAAGTCCAGAAACTGGTAGAAATATCATAAATGCCAAGAAATATAGCTCCACCAACAGATAGTAATGTGATTCGAGGTATTAAACCTGAGAAAAGCCTGGAGCGAAAGTAAACCAATACAATCATTGAAAATAATTAAATGGGCAATTTTATATTCAAAACAGAAAATAAGCATAATCTTATAGATTGTTCTATTTTGAAAGAGATAAAACTAAAGTGATAGTTCACTAAATGTTGTTTATTTATTAGTGTCGGTTGTTTGAATCTTCCCATTTATGTTTAGGACTGCAATTGATCGGTCTCTTTTTGCATATGTGCATCCTGTGCGGATTTCTTTGATATTACCATTAATTCACAAGCACAGGATGTACATATACCAGAAGAGATTGATCGATTGCAGTCCTAAACATCAATGGGAAGATTCAAACAATCAATACAAATGAATTAAACTTAACTGTATTACATAAACTAGTAGTTAAATGAACCCATTAGCCAAGCGGATGACGTTTGAAGCGAATGGTATTGGATTCTAGGCTCGGAGTAAACTAACACTCAAGGATGCAGGCACACTCAGCTGAAGAGCCTCAAATAATGCGAAGCGCGCGTCCTAAATTCCACTGCTAGCCACCGTCCATCTTTTCCGATGGTGCTGTTCATTTACTTTTTGAAATTTACTTTGACAGCCAGTAATAACGTAGAAGACAAAAGTGATGAGTTAAAACAATTACCTGTCGTAAAATGTAACCTATTATTAACAAATACTAGTTATGAGGTGAGATATCAGTTTGTAATGCCAGAATGGATTGGACTGTTTATTTTGTGATATCGCTTTTAAAACAATCTGGCCACTTCTTAGGACTAAATAACACTGCAGTTTATATGAATGATGACCAATTTGTTTATATTAGTTACAACTGAGTTTTATATACATCAACAGTATTAACCAAGTACTTGATATTTCTGTACATGCTGTGTAAATCATTGGTAAGCAGTAGTATATTTGTACAGGTAGAGATCAACCACATTAATCACCCTTTAGTTAGATGAAGGGTGAATACAGATAAATTATACAATACTTATTCATTAGCTGAATACAGGATGTATACTCAAGGATTTGATCACACATAACAAACTATTGAAAAGATGACATAAATTAGTAGGAAGATATTTTCTCATGAATGGATAAATCGAAATGATTTAAACATTTGAACCATCACTTTCAACCAGTTGCACAGTTATCACATTTTTTGATAATGAATTCTAGTAATCAACTTGTCAGTAGCTTAGATTCAAGTTCAAACTTGGTTATAGCGAGAAATAATTTGTTTCCCAACTTGCAATATCTTTTCATATACTTTAGTCTAAAAAAGTGTGCACCTGAATATACTGAATACATATTTCGATAGCATTTAAACTAATCGTTATTTCTTAAACGTTTATTCTCATTACCTTAAAATTTATCGTTAGGATTTAGAAAAGAAAAACCTACAATCATTTCAATGTTATCCCACATAATGAGAGAGGGGTTATCAGAGTATCCCGGTTATGATGAGGAGGGAAGTGATAAACATTTTATAACTATTCTTGGGACGTTACCGAAAACACTTTTTATTTACTCTGAAGAAGTGGCTTGCATCAAGTCACGAAACGTCAGAAATACAATTTTTCTAATTATTGGGATATAACAAAAATATATTTATTATTTTGAAAACTATTTTTTAACTCAAAAGCCTTGTTCAGCAGAGTTACGTTATTCGTGGATAGGAGTGAATTAGCGCAAATGATCAACCACTTTTAAATCAAAGGCAGTATAATTTTGATACATATTTTTGATGAAATAAGCGGAAACCGACTGCTGGATGGTTGTTATTAGTAGCGAAAATTCTAAAAAAGATTCGACAAAGTAAATAATAAAATATATTGTGTAAGAAACAGTAACGCGATTTAACTGGAATCTGGAAGTGTTTATCTTGTTTTTGCATGACTACAACTATTAAATATGGCAACACTAGAAAATTAATGTGAAAACTCCAAGGTACTGAGTCGAAATTTTCGTGCTCAAAAAGTAGCGGAATAATAAATAGCTATCAGGACACCTTTTATCTAACTTAATCATCTAGAGCGTTCTCTAAGATATGTTAAATACTTTTAATTTAAAAGAAACTAAATTTTCCAAAGTAATGCCGCGAAAATCACACAGGAGTTTGTTTTGTTATGGATGCTGAGGAAAAATATACTAATAATTATCGTGTTAAGTCTATGGTGGTTTGTTTGTTTGGTATATAAATAGAATATGTCTGAAATATGATGATTCATAACTCAGAGGCTGTGACTTGTGTTCTTGACTCAACTGGCTAGGACAGACAGCGAAGCAGGGCCAATCAGGGCACTAGGTCGTCCACTTACGTGTTTTACGTGTCCGCTGTAATCGGTCGATAAATACGCTGCTTATCAAAAAACCTGTAGTCCCACACGTTACAACAGTTTTTTTCTGAAATGATCTTAATGTGACTAGACAATGTGTAATCTTTTGACTTTGGGAAGGAGGTTAAATATGGTGATTTGGAAGCTAACTTACTACTGATGAAGATAAATACATAATGTACATCAGCATTATCTACCCTATTTAATTATAATTGTACAGTAATATTGTGAATTACATACTTTCCTAAAAGATCAATATACGCTTACTACAAAACAAGTATGTCCGAATGTCAGATACATGGGCAGCGGTTAGCAAGGTAGTTAGCCAAAACATACATATACACACAGCTTGTGAATTACAGGGCACATAAAAGAAATACAATCACGAAAAACTTTTTTAAAGGAAATTTAATTATTGTGTTGTCATTTGCTTTTTGGAGACGTCATGAAAACAGATCTCTACAAATCTGGAGTATATATATGGCATGGAATTTCATATAAAGAACACGAAGAAATTAGAAGACAGGTTCAAATGAAAAGAAAATAGACAACCTACCCATGAATTCCACTCTCTTGAAATATTGTTCGCATGGCGTAAATTATATGACCAGATGCAAAATTAGAATTGGGCTAAAATTAATAATAAAAAGGAGAGTAAAACTATGGTAGTAGTTGAATTGTCACATTATTTGCATTATGCTTAAAAATAATCCAATTCAACTATAAAATACTAAGTATCTTGATAACGCCAATTAAAAGTTCAAACCTAACCTACTAAAGAGTAATCCATTGAAGAGTGAAATAGATGCAATGGTTACAGTTCATAACAATCACTACATAGCTATTTTGTTGGTAAATGCGTTTAACTCCAAAAATACTGATCGTGTAAGGGATAGCTGGCCTTTGAGTAATATATGTTAGTAATAATCCAATTTATGATTATTAAATGATTAGATGTTTCATATTAAATTTCTGTGGCATAAAACTAGCACTAAACATTGAGATCAAGAGATGAGTGCTATGTTTGAAGAGATTAGGATATCACGAAAAACCGGAGAACGGAACAAAAGTCAGCAACACAATAACAAGAGAAGTTAAGCTATTTCACTGTACTCGCACCCTGCTAACTAGAGAGGAAAGACCAGATTAAGCAGACGGAAGTACATATTCCACAAGCAGTCGGAAGCACGAAAGAATAAGCACACAACTCATGAATGTATATGCGGCGCAAAAATGTTCTTAGGAAACGTCACAAAATAGCGTACTAAAAGAGAAAACAAACCAATGATATTTAAGGTTTTTCCAAGTGGGAAATACAAACTTGGGGTAAAAATGGGCGCTTTTGACGCAAAAATGAGAAATTTTAATTTCCAAAATGAAATCACAAGAACGAAACGTTAACCAAGTGATTTCTGATGATTTAGCGTTCCCAACAATGACTAGAATATATTCTGCACACTGAAAAAAGCTTATTCCAATGAAGTTGTCCACCTATAGATTATCAAGTTGTATAAAGTACTGAAAATCAGATAATTCATCTATTAATTCGAGTTATTTTATTTTAATTTCTGTTCATTAGAGAGAACTAAAATGAATACACATGAAAACATACACAATTAAAACGCATTTGTATAAACATAGAACATAAAAAGATGATAAAGGATAATACAACTGACCTCAGCCAACATTATTCGAGTTTTGGCCACATCTAAAGGTGTGGTTACAGCGCCAGCTATTGAGCCAGCTAAGCATCCACACATAGCTGACTGCCAAGCCTTTAACTGGAACGCTGTTGGGTCTGTAATGTCATCGGTTCCAACTGCATTTCTGTTCCATTCCATAGTCATATACTAAAAACAATGAGTTAGGAAGAATAATTTGAGTAATTAATAAGGAATATATATATCGGAAGCTAAGCCACTTTGACCGAACACGAATAAAAGTCAAGAGAAAAAAGCGTCAAAAAAGAGAACCACATTGTTGTAAGCAAAAGCATACAATATCTAGGCGTTTAAAATTTACATAAAATTACATTCAGTTCGCTTATTCTACAATAGGTTTTATTCATAATGTATAATGTCTCCAAACGAGTTTCTGAGTAGTTGCAAAACCAGAAAATCGACAACTCATACACACTAGAACATTAGTAATAAACCTTATAGATCTAGTTATTTTCCGTCATTTGCTCTACTGGTAATTCACTTGATATGAGAAGTCCGCAAGGATACAAATTCGCATTTATACGTCCAGCCTAAAAATTATTTCTTTAAAGAGGTTAATAATTTATTAGTTATAAATTTTCATGCATTTAACTATTAACAGCAATCCCAGTTATATGGTAAAATAAAGTGTACAACCCTGTCGTACAAGCACTTCTTCATAGAAATCGGGATATACCAGCTGTGATGAGTTTAGTAAACTATTATTTCAAGACCTATTTTGCTTGTTTATGATTCAAACATTGGATGTAACTACAAGCAGATTGTTGATGCGCGAAGGAAAATCACTTCTCTTGTGCTCAATAATTACTTAATAAAGACTATATGTGGAATCAAGTTTCCCATACACTAGCTCCAACTCACTTATTCTATTTTAATAAACAATCCACAGACGAATACAGTTTAGTATAAAGAAGAAAAGTAATCAGATAAATGTATATTCAATACAAAGACCACATATACAAGGTTGATTACTAGCTCGATTTTTGTTGTAACTTCGGAACGTAAAGATTTATAACTACTAACATGAAGATGAAAGAAATTTCAATACTTTAGCGAGTAGTCTATTGTGGGAGACATTTAGATACAAAGGGTGTGCTAAATTAACATATCAGGAAACCGTTTGACCGCTAACCTCCTCAAAACGCATGTAAACAAAGTAGTTAATGAATTCAAATTCAATTCCTACTGTTCAATTACATATAATCCTAGATTGGTGCGGGAACGTCAAATACTACGAGACCGTAATGTGGACATAAAAAACCCTCAGTGCCATAATTAACTGTTTATATACATGGCTATCGGTTTATGAATCGTGGTATTGTGGTGTATGCTACTTATGTCAACAAACATAAGTAGTATGTAACACCAATCAGAAGTGAAATGCATGGCGGTAGAAAGCTAAGAAGATCGAATTGAAGAAAACAGAAAGCGAAATAAGGAATTGTGAATTGGAAAGACCATACAGAATGTAAAGAACAATTGATGGGATATTTGCAAATGAAGTATTTTGTGTATGGTACTTATATTTTACCAAGATACTCCATAATTTTGTATCAATATACATTCGTTGTCTCCACCTGTGTTCTCGTCCACACCTATTACGTAAGAGATAACGATACCAGTAACCTTCCAGAACTACGGTGAACAAACAACTGTTTAAATTCACGAATCGATTGCTGGTAGTGGAGTTAATAAAGTCATAACAATGTATTTGATGAGACTGTTATGAAAAACACTTATAATTACTAGGATGAACAAAGTGGTCCTCTGTAAAGACATACTTACCCTTAATTTTTCCCATATGGGATATTGAATGAGTGAAAATGGGATTTCTCGTGATAATGTGCTGACATATCCTCGGTAAAATCCACGAATGCCCTGGGAAATATTAAAAATGTTATATAAAATCACTTCAATATTTAGTTGAAATCCAATGAAAAACGATTAACTCGTTTGCGATGGAGGCTAAACATGAAAAAAACAATGTTAAGTCTAAATGTAGTTCCTTAAAGAGACGTCCAAAATTTATACGCAAACACTGCTTCAGTTTCGCGAAAAATTCATTTTTCTTTACAAACTACCGTAAAAGCACACATAGATTCAGTGTTTGAACGCTGATATGTGTAATAATGGTACCTTAAATATTTTGCGATGAGAGATAAGATAATGTAGTGTTTAATGCCACTGGATGACTAGGTCAAGTGCTCACTTGATTAGCTCAAAGTAAAGGTCCATTAATAAACGATCTTACAAAAAAATATAAAAATCTATAACTCAGGATCTAAAAAAGCTTGTATTCTCTGTTGAGTATTATTGAAACATACGTTCGAGAACCAACATTTTATGGAGCTATAAATCAAATGAGGAACTACAACAGAATCAGCTGAGATCAGTTTTGGTGAGAACTGTAAACATACAAACGAACAATTGAAAGGTTCAAGAACATAGAAGTAGGTGTACGAAGACCACTACTTGACAATTTTCATCTACCAAATAAAGATCAAGGAATTTACTTAAATCCAAACAAGAAAATTTACCAACTGGTCTAACTCATGTTGGTCTATGAAACACGGATGTCAACGCAGTCTATTATTTCTATATTTGTTAAGTAATGATTGTTATCTATTTTATAGCAGATTGGTTTCCATAATCTTCGGTGGAATAACCAATTCATCCACAGTGTACAGCTTTAAATATACCGGCTCGGCTGTCTGTAAGTTAAGCGTTCTCAAAATTGTAGATGAGGACTTCTGAGGAGTCTCACAGTAAGAGGAAACGGTCGTCTAGTGCTTCCAGGTTTCCAATGGTGGTCCAACTTATATCGGTTCATGATTTCAATAGAACCTTAAATATAATCTAGCAAATACAGTGTTTCTTGTACAAGCTGAATTTGTTTTAAGTTTATGAAGTGATTTTAGATGATAAGTCAATAAAAAGCAGAATGAACAAAAACAACTTAGTCCATGGTCAGAAAGTTGAGTACAACAAATACCGGATACAATTGGGTAGAAAAACATAGGTAATAAGCATGTAACTAATTTTAATAATACGAACTACGAGTAGGTTGAAGTAACCAAAATATCCAATAACTAACCTCATTACGCAAAGTCTGTAGAAACACAGTTGAAACACCATGAGCAGGCTGATTTTGCGTCCTCTGTTTCACCACTTCACAGGGTACTCTTATAATACAAGCAACCTAGATACTGAAAATTAAAATCAAAATCTTACAATTTCTGCAATACAAGCAGATAGAACTGAATGACTTATCGGATGCATACCGAGATCCCTACATACATCTTTAACTGCCTCATAAGTTAAGAAAAATACTGCAGCTACATAAAGTTTATATAAAGTTATTCAAAGTCCAAGCTACCTGCAGGAGCAGAACCTATAGCAACTGCTGGGAAACCGGCAAAAAGACGGAGGGAACCAGGAGTCCTTTGAACATTGTTATGATAACTTTGCAAACGAGTTTTGATTGTATCGATTGGAAAAAGTGCAAGATCAACAGAAAGTCCAGCAGTTGAGCCTGCCTAAATAAGATAAGACGAAATACAAAAGCTCACCAACAAGGAAATAAGATGTGCATGATTATTGTTTGTACTCATGCTCAATTAAGGATGATAAGTTACAGTCCGTTTTCATACAAGATAACTCTAAAAAGTATATAAAAAGGTCGACACCATCATAAAATGTGAATAATTATGGGATTTAATTACACTCTTGTTAGATGACGGATGTCCTTTGGTTTCGAATCATGATTAATTTGTCGAAACTCGAGTCTGAACCGAAACGTTAAGATATTACTAGTTTAAATATGACTAACAATGATTAGGAAGTCCTGTTTATTTTACGCAAAGCGATTCCAAATTGATCCTTCTTGTTCACTGTCTCATTACAGTTATGAATTCGACCATGTTTACTGAGATGGATACATTATTTTTGCACATAATGGTCACAAAACATGAGAACATGTTTGATTTTTCTAAATAAAACCCTCCAGATACTTAACATCATAAAAGACCTACAAATGTCCTGATACGGAAGAGGATGAAGAGAGTATACTCTCTCTAGGTTCGTAAAGTTTGTTGTACATGCATTTACTCGAGGGCCCTATGGGATTTTTGTTTTTGCTGGCGTCGGCATCGCATTAGGCGCCAGAGCACAGGCAACATTAATCGAATGGACAAGACTGACCTCTAGGGTTAGCTGTTGAAGAAAGATGTGCTGAAGAAGTTTATTAACATCTCTAAGGACCTATGTACAAACACATCAGAGTGAGGGCAAACAGACACTTCTTTCCAGTACCCCCAAATGCCGTGGTACGGCCGAGAGTGAGGAAAGTTCGCTCTTCCTCTTGAAATGCTCTCACATGGCCACGCGTATATAGCCTCTGCCAGAGAAGTTCTATTCACTGACTTCTCGTGGCGAGGGTGTTGTTTACGAAATTGAGAGGACGAAAAGCGAATGTCCGGCGCTTTAACCGGGTTGGTGGACACGGAGAGTCCACCTAGGGGAGTTGGAAAACCCTGATTCCAAACCAATGGTGCACATGGGCTCTAGTACCCTGAGAGAACAAATGGAGTAAGAACCAACCGTTGGTCACTGGCTACCATAAGACTACATTTCCTTACGATGCTCCATTGCCTTGTGGGTTAGACCTTTAGGTCGAAGGCTCCAGGTGTGGCCTCTTAAAAATACCACCTGCTTGGGTCTGGGCACCCGAGCAGTATCACATTCCTCACACATATCAAATGAGATTTTCGTGGCGCATATGTATCTGGTGCCCCATTATACCAGTACTTATGTGTCCAAACAAATAATAAATAAATAAGGGAAAAAAAGGAAGTCCTAAGAACATGCCGTATCGGGACTTGGAAGTAGACATCAAAAGAATGAATAACAATTGTGAACTGGAAAGGAGAGAAAGAGTTGGGTGGAGAGTGCTGTTCGACGGTCTATGCTCCTCTGAGGGATAGTAGGTGTAAGTAAGCCGTGATAAGAAAGAGAACTGTACAGGACTGGTATCTGTTGGTCATTCACAAATCTCTGATCAGGGCCCTAAAGATCGTGAAACATTGGCATAATAAGTTGTCAGACATGACTTAGAAAAAAGCCAGCGATGCTTCTACTGCAATCACGGTTACCCTATTTATATTAGTGGGGGGAACTACTTCAACTGATAGAACCTTTGGGGTTCTTTTTTTGTCGAATGAGCCGATTCTCTCACTTCCTTTAATCCCATTCACTTATTATTATTAGTATTATTATCCACGTATTTTTCTCAATTTATTGTACTCAAATCTCACTTTCTTATTGTGTGACATATGTGTTTCAGTGCCCTTTTGTATCAATATTTGTCTTTAAATAAATAAAAGAAATTATAAGGGACGAAACGCAAATAAGTCCAGCGAATTCGTATCTTACAACTGGGTTAGATGGTTTTCATATATCTCTGCCATCAAATCCGCCTCGGCCATTTATATTCTTTGAAGACAGATTTTTTCCTCACCTTATTACAGTCTAATATTCTACTGGAAAAAAAGTTTATTTAGCTACGACTTAGTGACTTAGTAACCTCATAATTTTTGAGGTTTTTTTGTTCTGATCGCATTTTGTGATTAATTCCTTAATTCGTGCGACTGCATACTCATAAGTTTGTTTAAGGACATCAGATATTTTTAGATTATTCGAAATGACATCACAAAGGAGTTACTTCGGTTGCTTAACGTATCGCCCACTAGCAAAGTTTGCGGGCACTTGAAGGTCAAACTCTAGTAAGATGATTGGTGCGTCACACCGACAGTTCGTGAAGTTTTGCAGAAACGGTCAAATCAGGACACTTTTAGATTTGAATTCAGTTCAGCCACACTACGTCTGATAACGTCCGTCCTTCAAGTAACGAAGACGATGCCGTCGCGATGATGAACGAATCTTCAATGATATTATGCTATCACGAGGATTTACAAGTTGAGACAATTTTGAGACCTGTTTGCAAGAAGTACATAAGTTAGTATGAATTCTGTGGTTGGTAATTATTTTTGTACTATACATATATTAAGTACGTTATGTCAGTATGTAAAAAGAACAATGATGACTTAACTCTAAAGTATTTTTTCGTGACATATGTCTGTACATATGGACGTAAACGCATTTCATCAGAATCGGGTGCTTGTGTTCATAATGTAGATGATGAAAGTGATCTTCATTGTTTCGAAGAGCATACAACTTCCTACTCACCATCACAACCTAAACAAAGAAGATGACGTCGGTATCTACGTATTTCTTATTCCGAATGAATTTATCCTTCAGGTCGAAATATTGCCACTGTCAATCCGGATTTTGGGTCCGCGCAGTAAATGGTGAGCTAAAAGTAACACCTGTTAAGGCCATGCACAACCATCCTTGCACAGAAGTATATATTCCCGTAGATCCGTCAAGACGTCGGTTGACGTCATGTGAACGCTTATATTTAAGAACGTTCCTATTGAGTAATACGCCAACTCGTAGCTTACGGCATCTGGTTTCTTGGAAGTTCTATAAACAGCGTACCAAGCAAACACTGATGTTAAAGTATTCAGTGAACATGGGAACATATCTATGATGTACTTCAGCAGCAGGGAGCAAATAGCTAATTACCACGCATTCCCAGAGGTAGTATGTATTGACTCGACTCACCAAACCAAGAAAGTTGGGTAAGTAACGAATAGTAATAAATTTACCTTAAAGGTTTCCATTGTTTCAGCCAGTGGCTACTGATAGTCTTGGACAAGAGCACACTGTTTTGTATGCTCTTTGCAGGCAAGAGCAACGCGAAGATGTCGTAAGACTATTCAAATGCTGTAAAGACAATATGCAGTACTTGTGATACACGCACTTTCGTTACGGATTCGGCAGCGAACGAAATTTCAGCGATACAGTCTATGCACAGTCGTGTCAACATAGTACTTTGTTCATCTCATGTCTTGGGAGCATTTTTCAGGGGTGTATGTGTTAGCTGTAGAAATTGTTTTCTGTAGTTCCGTAACCCTGATGTGCGCAAATGCTTGGAACACATTATTAAGACTAGACGGTCTGACATGTGAGCTTTGCTTTTCATAACGCATTATATTCAGATTTTCTCAGAAGAATGAACATCTAAGAACCCATTTTCCATGGGCGTATGATTATGTAAGAGATTACTAGATTGCCCGGAAGTCAATGTGGACTTGCTGTTACAAGCGGCATGTTTCAAGCCTAGGCAATCACACAAACAATCATGTCGAAAATGCCCATAAACACCTAGAAGAACCTAAGAAATATAGTTGAATGTATCACTCATTCCAGGTTCCAATGCCCTTTCGAACTCTTAAATGAGTTCACATCTTTTGCAGCTAAAATTGTAGTCATAAATTATAAACATGTTAGGACGAGACACGAATTTATAGAAGGAGAATACATCTGGTGCTACGACGAGGGTATGATGTATGTTGTTGATACTTCACGTGCACGAATTGCTTGTGAGAGTTGCAATGACTACATGCTGCAGTGTGGTCACATTTTGTATGCATATTCTAAAGATCTACTTCGTGGAGGTAAGCGTGTGTTCTTTTGTCTCTATAAGCACTGTAGACATATTTCGACATAGGAGTCAATGGACAAGGAAATACATAATAGGCATGGTTCTTCGTGCGTTGGACAGTATGTCAATCTCTATATGGAGTGATGATCTACTAGATAAGTTCACTATCAACTACCACTCAATCCATGCTCTCAGTGGACCTTTGGTCAGTAAACTCATCCATTCATGCCTCGAAGCATCGAAAGACATATGCACACAAGTGATTAGTTCAATCGGTGCTAATGATGAAGCTACATCGTCAGAATCCATCGTTCTCACTGATCATAGCTATGTCTCTTGATAACAAGAAGTACTAACATTGTAATCCTTTTATTTTGACATAAATTCATTTATATGGCCACTAACTTGTTCTTATAGCGTTACGGCAGAGAGAGTGTACTGTGCAGTCTTAAGTGGTTGTGAGACATAGGGATGTTGGTTCGCGTTCTTTTGTGACAATTACCAGGTTGCTGCACACGCGATTAGTCATACAGACCGTTTACCAAATACTGCGAACTTGAACATGGTGTACTATATTGCCAGGTGGAATTCCGATCTGTCACGATAGATAAGCATTGTCGTAATTAAGTGATGCGTCATAAATGAAAACGTTTATTAATTTTTAAAACCAACACAAGTGATCCATTAATAAATAACTTTCAATTCTTAAGTATTGCTCGTGCGTTTTGGTTAAGTACATCAGATTGGTGTTGAACTTTCACTCAGAGTTTTACGAAAAAAGTCTGCATTACAAATGCAGTATCAGAACAGCCAAACAGCTCATAGTAGACAAACGAATGTCCCATGTCATGGCGATTATCCAAACTAAGCGTGCCAACTGTATAACAATGTTTACTGAATTGAAAAGTTCCATTTATGTCTGTGAACACTAGGGAAGCCAGCTGGAAATAAGATAGACAGGAAATAATTATTTCAGTATAAATGTTTAACAGAAACTAATATAAAAACAGAAACTAGTATTCAATTACACATAGAAAGTGCATTTAGCACAACTTCTTTGGATCGCCATCCACGCTTACTTACTTTATTTCTTGCTTTGCTTAGAAAAACCTGACTTGCAACATACATGGCTTGTGTTATTTGGTTCTCTGGATAGGTTGCACTCCGAAAACTTAGACAACCAACACATATATAGACTGCTATGTGAACTTACGTTGAATCGTCCTGTGCAATTTGTAATTACTGGGGCCTATTTTATTTTAGTCCGATATCAGCACGTAAGCTAGACACGCCTTGGTTGGTTTTCGAAGACTATCGCATAAGATCTCAGACAATATTGTCACCTGAGACCAAGATATTTTCATTAATTAATCGTACATTTCAATACCTTCTCGTAACCTCTTTATAATAGTACTTAGTCCTGCTATCAGCTACCTTTACAAGAATACCGGAAGCCTAAACATTGGAATTCTGTACAAAAGGTAGTAAATATATGTTAGCTTAGTCTCTGGTAGTCTTCACACAATTGTACCTCTTCAACACGATCTTGGTTTACTTCCTGCAATACAATGATTTGATGGCTTATATATCTAACTGTAGAGGGTGATACTAACATCTTGGTATATGCCATAATCATCTATGGCATATACATAGCCTTTACAACCCTCAGGACAGCTAATATTTTCACTATTACCTACTTCCATCATAAAAGTAGAACGAAACAGTGGAAATGAGCCAAAATTGCAATCGAAAAGAGAAAAACGATAAATC